GATGGGTCACTTGGGGGGTGGCCGGGTCACTTTCGGGGAGCTCTCACTACCCTTTGGAGGCTCAGCACCTCTGGATTTATTTTTTTCCTCTTTCTGACCTTCTCCAGGTGCACAAGTTCTACCGGGGGAGCGGGGGGAGCTTCAGCAAAGCCCAGGAGGAGTGGACCACGGGGGCCTGGAAGAACCCCCACGTGCAGCAGGCGGCGCAGAACGCGGCCATGGGGGCGGCGCAGGGGGCCATGATGCAGCACGAGACGCAGTACTCGGCCACCCCCAACTACACCTACTCCAACGAGATGTGAGCAGCAGCAGGACTCTGTCCTCCGGGGCGGCGGGGAAAGGGAGGAGGAAGAGGAGGAGGAGGAAGGCTGAGCTGAGTTTCTGCAGCTATTTTGGAGAGTCGGGAGTGTACCATAACGGTTCTTCTTTTTCCCAGTCTTTGTAACGAGAGAATTTTGGATTTTTTCCTTTTTATTTTCTTTTTCTCTTTTTTTTTTTTTCCTTTTTTTTCCTCCCGTCACCATCTTGAGCTCTTCTTTTCTCTTTTATTTTTCGTTTTGAAGAGGCCATGAGTTGACCTGCAGGGCTCTCATCGTTGTGCGTGGTGGTAGTCGGTGTACATTCACCTTGTCTTTTTTTTTTTTCCTCTTTTTTTCCCTGTGAAATAGTGTAGGGTGGTGCTTTTTTAATTAATTGTGGTGATAGGTGTACGTTTAGAACTACATCAGCCAAAAGCTCCCTTCCTCCCCCCCACCTCCTGTCTGCCCCCAAACTCCCCTCAAAGGGAAAGATAAAAACAGCAACCAGCACCCATCTCCCCTCTTGGAATAAGTGGTGAAACACAGGTTTTTTGCGATGCGTGTGAGTGGGTTTTTTTTGTTTTTTTTCCTTTTGGAGTCGGTAGCATCCAGCCACTTGCCACTTCTCAGCAAGGGCAAGCAATCCCGGGAGTTCTCCCTTTTCTTTGCTTTTTAACTAGCAGGTGGCTGGCTGGTTTAGCAGTTAAAAAAAGAAAACAAAACAAAAAAAGGAGAAAAGGGAAGAAAAAAAAAGAAACCCTAAATCTTGCTGGAAGCCAAGAGATTCCTAATCTACACCCTGGCTCAGGATCTACAATTTCTCTCGGTGTGTGGTGGTGTGTAAATTAATTCCCCGTTTTGAGGTGGCCGACCAGTATTTGTGTGTGAGCGTGGGTGCTGTGTGTGTGTGTGTGTGAGCACACGTGTGTGTGTGTGTGTGAGCACACGGGGCTCTGCGTGACCGTGTGCGGCCGCACACGTGTGTACACGGCTGTAGGAGGCCACACATGTGGTTTTACGTGGCTGTACACGGCTCTACATGCCTGTACATGGCTCTACATGCCTGTACACGTGTGGCTGTGTATGGCTGCACGTGTCTTTACACAGCTGTACAGGGCTCTACATGCCTGTACATGGCTGTATGTGGCTCTACATGCCTGTACACGGCTCTACATGCCTGTACATGGCTGTATGTGGCTCTACATGCCTGTACACGGCTCTACATGCCTGTACATGGCTGTACGTGGTTCTACATGGCTGTACATGGCTCTACATGCCTGTACACGTGTGGCTGTGTATGGCTGCACATGTCTTTACACGGCTGTACATGGCTCTACATGCCTGTACATGGCTGTATGTGGCTCTACATGCCTGTACACGGCCGTACATGTCAGTACATGTCTTTACATGCCCTTACAGGGCTCTACATGCCTGTGCACGGCTGTACGCCGCTAAACACGCGTGTACACAGCTGTGCGTGACACTACATGGCTGTACATGCCTCTACCTGCCAGTACATGGCTTTACATGTCACTACATGGCTGTACATGCCTCTACCTGCCAGTACATGGCTTTACATGTCACTACACGGCTGTACATGCCTCTACCTGCCAGTACATGTCTTTACATGTCACTACACGGCTGTACATGCCTCTACCTGCCAGTACATGTCTTTACATGGCTGTACACGCCTTTACACAGCTGTGCGTGACCGTACACGTCACTACATGGCTGTAGCTGCCAGTACGTGTCTTTACACGGCTGTATGTGCTCGTACACGCCTGTACACGCCTGCAGGCGGCTGTGTGTGTGTGAGCATGTGGAAGCGTGTAGAAGCATGTAAGAGTGTGTGGGAGCATGTGGAAGCGTGTGGAAGCGTGTGGAAGTGTGTTGGAGCATGTGGAAGCATGTGGGAGTGTGTGGAAGCATGTTGGAGCGTGTGGAAGCGTGTTGGAGCATGTTAGAGCGTGTCGAAGCGTGTTCCTGCCCATCGTCTGCCTTTTTTTTAACCAAAAACTGTGAAAAACAACAGAAAAACGTGGCCTTTTGCCGCGGGGGGGG